TCGTGCCTCAAGGAAAACCCTTGAATACCAGACAAAACTTCCAAGGATTTCCCTTGGAAGCTACGGGTTTCAAGACAGAGTCGGGGATTTCAAGGCCCAATCTTGAAATTATCCACCCGACCTTGAAATCCAAGACATTTCCTCGGATTTCAAGACACTCTTTTTACCGTGCAGGGACGAGGAAAGTAGATGTCACTTGTTCTCCTCTGGTGCTGCCGTGATGCTGTTCCTGTACTACTTCGACGGCACTAATAAAAGCTCACGGTGCTGTTTACCATGGTACGTTACAGTGAAACCTTCAGCACTGTCCGTTATATTGACTTAAGTCACAGCAATTCTCAGTGCAGGGCAAAGTTGCCGTGTACTTCAGTGCATAACCTTCAACCCGTAGCCGTAACTTACGGTGAATATAGAACGAAAGAACTGTCAGTGCTGCTGCGGGTTTCGCCGTAACTTATTTGTCACCGCGCTCGCTTTTCAACAGTGTGTTGGCCTGGAGTGGACAGAATGCACAGGATATGCAGCCGCGCTGCTGCCTAACGAGCCCCGCGCTGGTCGCACCGGATGGACGAAAATTCAGCGGAGAGACACATCATTTTGCAGCTGTAGCGAAAAGGCGTATCATCGCAACTTGTGCTTATTGCAAAGTTTACGCGCAAGGGGGGCTGTGGTTTTGTGTGGGTGTGGGTGGTCTCATTGGAAGAAAAATAGTGAAGTGTAAGATAAAGACTAAACAATTTGATGACATATATTATCGAAGTGTTGCCAGACCATTCTTGGGTACTGTACTTCCTTCTTCCGTCTATTTCCGACAGTATTTATAAGTGTGAGTTTAATTGGGCCCGCAAATAATTATACCATAAATGACAGACACAATGCTAGAAGGCTATGACATGTTTGCTTTGCTCGATCTTACATATTTTCTAAAACTAATTTGTTACATACTCTCTCTGCCGTGGAGTGGGGTAAAAACTACGAGTGTGTGTGTTACGGTCTGCGGTATCCCTTCTGTGCCTTAGGTAAGGCCGTAGTAAGGCCGGGCGGAGGGCAAGACGCGCGCTGCTGCAGGCACGCCGGGGCCGTCTCGGGGGTCACATCCAGAGTCTCATAACTCACGTGCTGGGGTGTGGCCGGGCGGGGCCGGGCGAGGCCGGGCGGGGCGCGAGTGGTGGGACCAGTGAGGGTGCATATTAGCCATGCACCCAGAGGATCGGGGACGAGTGGACCCCCGATGGGGACCCCCGCATTGCCCCC